TTAAATTGATTGATTGAACATGATTAATTTTCAATATATGAGTTTCCAAATACCACTATAGCTTATTAATTTAGCATTTTGAATGTTTAAAACGGATTTTTGACATTTTTGTACTTAATGCATCGATACACTGAACAGTGTATCGATGCATCCCTTTGAATGTGCATCGATACACCATGAAGGTGCATCGATTCACTCCTTGAATGTGCATCGATGCTCAAGGTTATGCATCGATACATCCATTGAGTTTTTGGATAAAAACCTTGTTTTTCTATTTATTTTCTCAAACCCTTAAAACACTCTCAAAACCGCCGTTCACCTCTCTCTCTAGTTTCTCCTTTCGCTTCAAATCAACGTAATTTTGACGGATTTCAATTGTTCTTCATCTCCTAATCCTGCTTTTATCATCAAATCATGCAAGACAACATCACATTCCTCTCAATCCAAAATTTTCAAGGTAATATTTCAAAACATTTGTTTTATTGATTTCTGAACTTAGAACTAGTTTTGATTAGTTCTAGGATGAACATTATACCGGGCATTGATTATATTATGATTCTAAACTAGATTTTACAATCAATTTTGTCAAAAACAAACAATTTTTCAACATTGTCTTTGAATTTTCGAAATAAAAAAAATGATTTTCGAAAATTATTGTTTTTGATTTAATTGTATTGTTTTCATAAAAATTATATGTATTATGATATTTCTAATGTTATTTTCAAATAGTTTTCAAAATCATGTCCATTAGGATTCAGTTTAGAGAATCTTGAATTATTGCGGACTCAATTGAGTTTTGGGATTAATTATTTTGCATACATGTGTTTCAAAATTGTAGGTTCTAATTTCGTTTCCTAAATCATGTCAAACCCAAAACGCCCTAGGTCCTCTTCGAGTCGTTCTAACCAACCCCCTAATCCTATTCCTCCTCAACCTCAAAATCCAAACTCGAATGACCAAAACATGACCATTATAAGTTCCTGTTTTAATATGCCTGAGCGTCGTAGGGATGAACTCTACCATAGGTATATGAACTCTTTTCAATCTTATAAAATCCGGGAAGAACGTATTTCCTCTGTTCAAGCCATGGTAGACATCAACTTTTAATACCTACCGACTCTCAAGTCCGGGAAGTTTGATAAACTATTTCACCTTAAACCAATTGTCTATCATCATTTAGTCCATATTTTCTACTCTAATACGGTATGTATTCAAAACCAGACTCAATGTGGGACTATAGGAATCAGATCCTACCTTTTAGGACAATATGTTCATATTGACTTCGAGTCTATCGCTAGGCAATTTGGGCTAGATGACAATGGTCTATACAATGAAAAAGAAACTGTGGCATATCCCTATCTTCCTAACGCTAGTGTTAGTACTTTACGATCTCATCATGATCGATTTCTCCATTTGATGATCTATTGGTGGTTTAGACCATCCGGAGGTATGTACTCCACTCTTCGTATTAGGGATTTATGGTGGATGTATTGTATCTGGATGTATTGTATCCAACATAATAGAAAAATCAATTTGCCACAAATTATTTGCAGTGAACTAGTAAAAACCATAAATGGTGTCCCTTCTAAACATGTCAAAACTTTAGTTTATGGGTGTCTACTTAGTAATCTTTTTATAAAACTCGGTCTTAACGTCTCTCTTGACAATCACATTCCTCTTCAAAACCAAATCAATCTCACCTCCTTGAAGAAAGATGATTGGAAACAGGAAGAGGAAACTGATCAATAGGTTTATCGACCCTCTAAGCAAACTCCGGGAGCGAGTTCTTCACGAGCACCTCCTGCTCCTAGCTCCTCTCGTACTCAACCTCCACCGGCACCGGCTGCAGATGATGATCCCGAGCTTCAAGGGCTATTTCAAGATATTGACGATCCCGACAATGAGCCGGCACAACAAGATGATCAAGTGCCTCCATATTTCTGTTCATTTTTAGAGACATTTGATCTACGGTTTGCTTCCATCGAATCCCATTTAACTACAAACAACGAAGCGGTGAATCATCGCTTAGACACTTTGGAAGCTCAACAAATGGAGTTTCAAAGGGAGATGCTTGCACGTATGGATGCTCTTACTCTTGAGATGCAAGCACGATTTCCTTCTCCTCCCGATCCTTCTATGGACGAGTAGACCTTGCTTTGTTTTTATTTTGGATCAACTTAGAACTTTACTTGTTAAAACATTTTGAATGCTTTTGGATTGTTTTACTTTTTTTGCTGGATGTTTGAATTTGTTTGGATTTATATTTTGGTTGCTTTGGATATTTGAACTTATCATATATATATTTGGTTTGGTTTTCTTTTTGAGCTTAATGATTATTAATTTTTGCATCATTTACATATTAGTTGCATTATGATCAATTTTTACCATTTCACATTTTTATTATGAATATTGATGGGACTAATGGCTAATATCTCTTTTGATTGTGATCTTAGCAGCTTAATCTTTCAATTAATAAATCAATTGGCTAAGTTTTTCAAAACCTTGTTTAAAAACGTTTAGAGTCTTTTTTATTTAACAAAAAGGGGGAGAATATAGTAAGGGAGAGTAAATTAAATTTTCAAAATTGTTTACAAAAATTATGTTCAAAGAAAATCTTAAAATTACTCAAATGTTTTGTTATATCAAAAAGGGGGAGATTGTTGAAAACAATTTGATGTTTCGATATAACAAATTAAGTATAAATGAATTTTAAGATTTTACAAATGATTTTCTAAGTATATTCGATTTAATTACTCGAATTTCAAAATATTACTCCAAGTCTTTCAAAGATCAAATTCAATCCTTACTAAAGTGTAAAATTGTGTTTTAATCTTAAAATATTTTTGAAAAAATTTTCACAAAGTATTTCGAACAAAAAACAAGCCTAAAATCAAATTTTCAAAAGAGTGTACCGATGCACTAAGGGTCCAACGGTCGAAAATTTTGAATTTTACACATAGTGTACCGATGTACTAGCCTTATGCATCGATGCACCAGACGCTCCCAACTATTTTATTAATTGTTTTCACACTTAAACGGCTCCATTGACTCCACTAAGCATCCCCAACGTTCAAAATCAATTGAAGGAGTATTTAAACAAGCTTAGAAGTCATTGATCAACAACAAGAAACAACAATCAACAAGAATCAAGAGAGAATCAAAGAGAAAGCATCAAACCTCAAGTTTGAGCATTTTCAAGCCTATTTCATTCAATATTCATTTTTGCTTTCAAGAACACTTATTGTGCTCAATTGTATTATTCTTGAGTGTTCTTTCTTTGTTCTAGAATTGTGCAAACACATTTGCCTTGTGAGGTTTTTCATTAAGTTTGCGAATTTGTAATCTTCTCTTTGAGAAAGAGTGTTCTCAAGAAATGGGGTATATTCTAGAGGGAATTGTAAGGTTATCTCTTTGGCCTCAAAAGAAAGAACAAATTAGTGAATTTGTTGGAAAATCCTTAGTGTGGATAGCTAAGGTAATGGACGTAGACTTTGGTTGAGAAAGTTGAATCACTCTAAATCGATGTACAATTACTTTCAATTTTATGCAAAAGCTTCCACCAAATTTTTAATTGCCAATTCACCCCCCTCTTGACCTATTCCGTCGATTGATTAACTCAACAAATTCATATATTTGGGTTGGGTCGGGTCTCGGGTGGAGGTTCCCTTGTTCTCGGGTCGGCTCGGGTGGACCAAAAACCCAACCCATGGCCATCCCTAATTGAAATGATTTTAACTTATGATATTTATTAGTATGATTTTTATAATTTATTGAAATGAATAATCAATCAATAAAATGAAAATTTAATATTTTTAAATTTTTATAATATATTGCTACATGCAAGTTATAAAACAAACTAAAATTAAGCAAAAAAAAACAAGAATTACATTTCTTTCATTTTACATTACGAAATCAAATTCATCTGACATGTCTGCGAACCAAACAGAATATGTAATTGGATTCCAGATCAATTTCCTGTCAACCAAACAGGTTTCAGATTCAGATTCAGATTCCAATTCCTACAGATTTCAATTCCTTCACAGATTCTAATTCCCTCAAAAACATTTCAGCGAACCAAACGCCACCTTACTTCTTTCCTGACAAATTAAGGGAAAGGTTAAATTAGCTTAAATAATTGATGATTGACGTGAAGTAATTTACATGCAGATTGATGTTAAGATGATGATTTAAACACAGTTAAATGCTTTAAAATTACTTTGAGTCAGGTAGGTGATAACTTAAAAGATTAAAAAAACAAGGGGAGGGGGGCATGCATCAAAATACATATTTTTTGATACAGAGGAGTCATGGATTGATCCGTGCAAGAAATTGCACAATGACATGGTAGATTGATCCTCGTTAGCATCCGAAGATCCTGGCTTGCAAAGCAGTTGAGCTTTTCTGGGCGTATGCACTACTTCAGTCTGTCATATATATCGATCTTTAGTGTATTTTCTGAATTAATTCAATATAAGATTGAATCTCATTTCGAAAATGTTGTTAATGGAATGGAACTGCGTTGAATTGCAAGCATACTGTTAAGAAAACTACTGAATGATGATGCAAGATGGGAGCCAATATTATGGCAGCTGTCAAAACAAAGATTTCCCATTGGAATCCACTTCTGGGCTAAAGCAACTTGATTACTTAATTGTTAAAACCATGGCCAAGGATAAGATACTCGTATCACTTTCAGCTGCCCTGGAATCCAGTTTTGTTAATCAAGATTAATGATTTGATTAGAGCTCCCTTTCAAAGGAAACTGGGTCATATTTACTGGGAAAATCCAAACAAACAAGGCAAAGATAAGGTAAATTTAAAGCTTCTGAACAAGTTTTCTTCTATAAGAAAAGCAAAATAATTTATTTCTTTCCCCCCACTTGGTGGTTGGTATCAAGAAATGCACTTTAAGTGGGTGGAAAAGAAGAATAGAAAAATATATAATTAGTCTTTTAGAATAGTTCCAGATGATTCTTAATGCTCTACTTATGTTGGTTTGATTTCCATTACAAAGCAAGTAACATGCGAACAATGAGTATCACTTCTTACATCCTCTTACTCTGTCTTATTATCTACAGCACTAATGCTCGAAATCCCACCAGAGAAGCTCTGGAACTTACAATTGGCACCGGCAATGGCAGCAAAGATAGCGAATCGAGCAAGGCCTGTAATCTTCCATTGAAACTCAGTTGTCAGTTACCGGGAACCCATTTAGCCAACCAAGTGTTGAAGTTTGCAGATAAGAGGCTGGCTTTAATATATCCAGTGATACAAAAGTTCAAGTCTTTAATCACCTCGGATCCTCTGGGAATCACCCAAACATGGGTTGGTTCGGATATCTGCAGTTACAAAGGATTCTACTGTGATAATCCACCGGACAACAAGTCCGCCATTGCTGTCGCTTCCATCGATTTCAATGGATTTCAACTCTCAGCCGCTTCGCTCGACGGTTTCCTCGACCAGCTACCGGATATCGCGCTATTCCATGCAAACTCCAACAACTTTAGCGGCTCTTTTTCTTCGAACATAGCCAAGCTTCGTTATCTGTACGAGCTCGACATAAGCAACAACCGCTTTTCAGGGCCGTTTCCGGTTGCCGTTCTGAACATGCCCGGTTTAACGTTCTTGGACATTCGTTTCAACTTCTTTACCGGCGCGGTTCCTTCTCAAATCTTTACGCAGAATCTCGACGCTCTTTTTCTTAACAACAACGATCTCATGATCCGTCTGCCTGATAACATCGGCTACACACATCTCTTTTATCTCACCTTGGCCAACAACAAGTTCAATGGTCCACTTCCCAGAACCATTTTCAAAGCTTTCTCATCATTAGCCGAGGTTCTTCTCTTAAACGACCAGCTCACAGGTTGTATACCCTATGAGATCGGTTTGCTCAAGAAAGCTGTCGTTTTCGACGCCGGAAACAACCAGTTGACCGGTCATTTACCTTTCTCGTTAGCTTGTGTGGAGAATCTGGAACAGCTGAACTTCGCCGGTAATCTTCTGTACGGAGCGGTCCCAGAGGTGGTCTGCGAGCTCGGGAAGCTGGTTAATTTATCGTTGTCCGACAACTATTTCATGTACGTCGGTCCACTGTGTCGGATTTTGATCGAGAGAGGGGTGTTGGATGTTAGAAACAACTGCATCCCGGATCTTCCGTTTCAGAGACCGGTTGAGGATTGTGCGAATTTCTTTTCTCGTCCGATATTCTGTCCTCGTATGTGGTCTTACAATTACATCCCTTGTCACTATTTTCCTTACACTTCTCTAATCCCTGAAATGGCTCCTTCACCTTAACCTTCTTAACGGAATTCTGTTTTTTTTTTACCCTTTAAAGTTTCCGTTTTTTTATAAGCTATTCTTTCACTTCCTATGTAACAAAAATATAAGATCAATTGTTGGTCGATTATGGAAAAATCTGAACAACTCTGTTATCGTTTCTGTTTGAAAGGTTCTTCGTTTTTTCAGTTTTAAACGAAGGAAAGATTATCAATAAAATTATTTGAAATAATTTATTATAAAATATATTAAATTTTCGAGCTGGTCGCGAGATTTTCAACTATAGTATCAAATAGCTCATTTTCAACTAGTTAAGAAATCGAGTCGAATATTTATCGAACTTTGATCAAGTTAATTCCGAGTAACTCACGATCTATCTGATCTCATTTACAATTATGTCTCCCCGACAATTCTTTTAATTCATCTATGTGACTGTTCATAAACCGGCTCACCTACCAAACCAAGTTTTTGGCAAGTCTGAACTAACCCACGACAGTACAAGTTCCTAACTCAAACGATGTGGTCCAGCTCAGAAAGGTGACCCCGTTAGAGGCTAAAACTTGATTAAAAAATGCTTGACGAAGACGAAGGTGCTTTGTCATTGATCGCCGCCATTGATTTTCTAATGTTACCTTTGGTAGAGTTATAATGGGGAACTGCTGACACTTAAGTGGGGAGTTTTCTTTGGTTTTTACGAGTATAATTAATAATCAGCTCGAGTGGAGTAGCAGGCTTACCTCTCCAGTCTCGACCGTTGTTTGATAGGCTTATTTTTATTTTATCATACGTTATGGGTGACATTCATCCCCATCATTCCCCACTTTGCATCCACCTTGTTGAAATTTTGATCCAATTACATTATCTTCATCAGGTTCTTCTTTAAAATGTGATCAAAATCACATTCCTCTTTTTAAAATCTATTGATAATTTTCTTCCAACAAGTTTTGTGACTCCAGCAAATTCATTCGTTTTACGGCCATGAGTTAATTTGATTTACATTCATAAGTGATGATCAATGAGCATATTGGACTCAATGGCATTATTCAAGTATTGTCATATATGGTGAAGAGCAGTCCAAATATCTCATGTTATTCGAGTACACGTAAAAATTATTATACAATTATTTGACACCTCTATGTTGGTATACAGCCCAAGTAATTTGAATATTTAGAAAATGGTTCAATTCATACGATATGCTTTTATGAAAATTATGCAAAAGTAAATAGTTTAAGTAAACACCTTATCTTAAAGAATAATTTTTCAAATGATTTTCTTGAGTCAATTACATCATATGTCTCCAAACTATAACCTTTATTTTAAATTAGTCATTGAACTTTCAAATATTCTAATTTCATCCTTAAATTCTGCTTATCATCTTAAATTAGTCCTTAAATTTTTTAACATTTTAAGTTCACCCACAAACTATGACCTTCATTCTAAATTAGTCCACAAACTTTTTAAACATTCTAATTGAATCCCCAAATTTATCCAAATATATAATTTTTTTTTGGATAATTCAATTTCATTACCCAAGAAGCAGAAAATCTTGCTACAGTAAACAAAGACAATAAACAGCACAATAGCAAAGCAAGGAAAACCACAAAGAAATACTAGTCAACTAAACTAAAACAACAAGACATGCTCTATTCAGGCAATGCCCCAATTAGCACACATAGCATTGTTGACCAAGTCTAATCGGTTGAAAGCTTTGCCCACCAGCCGAATGCGTATAGTCTCTTTGATAATATAATTAGTTTCAAATATAGTTTAACCTAAATTTTATTTTTTCCCAAAAATATAATAATATAACGTGGCCTAACGATTTATTAACAAATATTGTGATTAGTATATACGTATAGTTTGGGATGAAACTGGAATGTTAAAAAATTTTGGGACCAATTTAGAATGAAGGTCATAGTTTGGGGATGGAATTGAAATATTCAAAAGTTTGAGGATTGGTTTAAAATGATAGTCATAGTTTATGGATGAAATTTTATATTTAAAAGTTCAAATACTATTTTAAAAAGACGGTCATACTTTGATGACATGTAATGCAATTAGCTCTTTTTTCACTATATTTAAAGGTGAGCGTTGATCGAGTCGAGTCAAAAAATTTTGAGTTATTCGAGTTGATGAGTCGTATTTTACAACTCGGAGTTGACTTAATTATAAATATTTATAATATTACAATATTATTTGATTTCAATTAAAGCGACTTTCTATAATTATATATACAATATAAATTTTGTTCTACATATTTTTTCATAAGTAATACACATATATCATACAAAGTCCAAAGATTAGACTCAAATTTGAAAATAAATCTACTAATTATTAAAAAATTTGAGTTATTCAAGTACATTTTACAACTCGATTTGAATTTGAAATTTTTTCAAATCGATTTGAGTTTATAAAATTGAAACTTAAAATCAATTTGAGTCGAATCGAATCGAAATATTCGAATTTTAGAATCGAGACGAGTTTTGTTCACATGTAACTATATTATCTATAAAGGAATTTTGCCGACAAAGATTGTAAAAAGAAAAGAAGCAATTATTGAATGAAATGGAGTGTGAAAGTGTTGTAGTTCTCGAAACAAAGCAAAGTTAAGCCAAGAGTGATGGAATAGTCGGTGACCACCGTAGACTTCTGACTATGGACTTTACAACTTACTTTAGCAGCCCATTTGATTGATATCTCATGGCCCATCATATTTAAGGTCGATAACTTTAGGCCTCGTTTACTTTTCTCTTAAAAGCGAGGCGGAGATTCGGTAAATTATTTTCTTGTTTCAATGCCAATTATGTGTATGAATTAAGCAACTTAAGTGATGAAAAGATTTGCTGTTATCTTTTAAGGTTTTAGATTTAAGCATCACATATATTAGAGATATAAATATTCACGTTTGAGAGTTTTTAGACAAATATTAACTTGTATTTACCCAGATTTATATGGCAAAAATTATGTCAATCAAATATATAAGATTCATTCATGAATTCTATAATATTAAGTGATGAGTCTTTTTTGTGTTTATCCCTATGGAGAACTCAAGCTCCTTGGATAGGTAGATAAAAAAAGTTACTCAAGTTATTTCTAACCACTTGTATGTTCAATCACTTGAAATTATACACAAATATAGGACATATTGTAAGAATGTATTATAATCTTTTATTGTAAATTATCTTATGAGCTTGTACATGCATCTTTTATAGGTTCTAAAGTCATAAGTTATTAAAATCAAATTAATTCTTAATCGCTATGGTACATTAATTATAAAAGGAGAGACCTAAATGAACATTCATAATAAATGTTATTTATAACATTCCCCTTGGTTGTTCATTAATAAAATATGTGTCTCGTTAAAATCTTATTAGGAAATCTTGAGGGACAAAATCTAGTGAAGAAAAAAGAGTACACCATCTTTTAATGGGCATGACATGTTGTCTCATTAAAAATCTTTTCAGGAAACCCAATGGGATAAAATCATGGATAAGGAAAAAAGAGTACAACACATATTTGTTCTGCTCATGAACGCATCATAAAATATCTTTGAAATGGCGTAATCCAATATTGAAAATTGACTTTTCAAATGTACTAGTAAAAAGTACCTTAGTATATATATATATCTCCAAATTTTCACTTGAGCAAATCTGTTGAACATTAATATCCCCATTCTTTTGTAGATCATGAGTGAAAAAAGAATTTTGATAAGATATGTTTTGCTCTATCACGCTTTATATATCCTTCTTTGAGTTGGGTAATGCAGACTGCATTGTCTTCTGTCGAAGTTATTCTAATGGAGTTTAAGCCATAATCTTCTCAAATATAATTGATTACAGACCTTAGCCACACACATTCATGACTAGCCTCATGGATAGCCAAAATCTCAACATGATTAGAGAAAGTGGTAGTAATTGTTTGTTTCATAAAGTGCCAAGAAATTTCAGTACCATCATATATAAATACATAATTATTTTGTGATTGTGCATTATGAGGATCAGATAAGTACTCTACATTTGCAAAACCAACCAATTTTGTTTTGGATAAAAAAGAAAAATAACCTCATGTCTTTCATACCTTAAAGATAACGAGATATATGTATGGACATGAACTAATTCTTGCTAATAAACTGACAATAAATGATGTATCAGTTCGTATATAGCTAGAAAGATACATCAATGCATCAATAGCACTTAAATATGGTACTTCCATATCAAGAAGATTTTCATCTTTATCTAAAGGATGAAAATATCTTTATTTACATTCAACGGCCTAACAACCATCGGGTGCTCAACGAAAGTGTGTTATAAATGTAGAATTTCTTTAGCACTTTTTCTATGTAAGTTGATTTGTGTATAAGAATTTTATTCTTTAGGTTTTCAATATATAATCTAAGATAAAATCTTGTCTTTTCAAGGTCTTTCATTTTAAATTCTTTATTTAAGTATTTTATTGTCATTGAGATCTCTTCAAGAGTTTCAATGATATTTAAATCTTCAATGTATAAGACAATAATGACAAATCCGAATAACAAAAATACATGAAGAAATCAAATCATTCTTATAACCTTCCACTAATAAGTACTCACTTGGGCGATTATACCACATGCTCCCATATTGTTTTAATTCATAAATAGATTTATTAATAGATTCATTAGGTGGAAAGTAAGTCCTTATTTTACTTTCATACTAATAAAAATCTAAAAGTAGTTGCACCAATAACCGGGGAGTATATTTCTTTATAATCGATTCCGGATCTTTGTGAAAATCCTTGTGTAACCAAACTAGCTTTATATCTCATAATTTCCCCTTTTTCATTTTTGTTTCTCACAAAAACTCATTTATATCCTACAAGTTTTACATCATTTGATGTATGAACTACATGTTTGAATCCTTTTTCTCTTTGTAAAAGATTTTAATTCCGTCTCAATCGTCTCTTTCAATTTGACCAATCATTTATTTGTTTACATTATTAGATTGATATAGTTTCATGATTTACATTATCATTCAAAATCTCTAGTGCTATATTGCATGTAAATATATCATCAACATCGATCTGATTTTAGTTTCATTTATTATCAGACATGACATAATTTATTAAGATCTCTTCATTATTAGGTACCCGAGTCATGTCAAATTTCTTTTACGGAGATCCTTTAAAATCTTCTGGAAACTTTTCATATTTTTTATCAGATCATCATTAGATATAACTCTATTTCT